GCAGAGAAGGAAGCGGTGTTCCTGGTACCAAAAGCAGACAGTGTTTGCCTGCGTTTTAGTGAATTTGGAACCTTAAAAGGCGAAGATCCTTAGTACTGGAGGACTCAATGCTGTTTCAGTTGAGTGATCAGAGCTGAGACAAGAAGAATGCAGGAAAGGAAGTGCGCTTGAGCTCCATAACCAGTTGCTGCAGCTGAACTTGGGAGATAATCACCTTGCAATAATGGTGTTGGAAAGAAGAAGGGTTATCTAGGATACCTGATAAATTTTGTGACAGCTGCACCTGGGCCTCTAACTAGAGAAATGTTTGTGGCTGAATTCCTGTAGATTGTTTGCAGATTCAGCTGATGGCTAATTGTGATGTTAGGTTTTCCTTCTTCTGAGAAACATAGAAGAGTGACTTTCAAAATAATTTTAACAAATAAGCACAGTTGTTTTAAAACATGCTGCAGACTTAGTAACGTAGGCTGGGAACTAGGGTCCCCTGTTCTCAAAAAATGCATTTTCAAGAGGAATGATGTTTTAATTTTAAGAGAAATAATGTGCTTTAATAATAGACTACTTATTAGATTGCACATATATATTTCTGAACTCCTTATTAGATGGCAGATTTCCTAAACGTAAAGAGAATGTCCTATGTGACAAAGACTTTTCTTTTGAAAACTTTCTAGCTTACGAGTTTGCATCTTTTCTGTTTTTCTGGCTATATAATTGAAAGAATAATGGTTACACTTGTGAATGCCTATTCAGTTAATATAGGTCCTAACTTAAATATGCTTTTGATCATTAATACTTATAACAATCAACTTTGGAGATTTGAATCGGGCTGATTGTAAGGGGCTCATCTTTCTTTCAACATCAATTTTATAAGATATTACACAAACACAGCAAAAAATAAAGCTAAAGCTTTTTTAACCATATACCTTCAGATAAGATGGGAGTACTGAATTATTCTGAAATCAGAGCTTAAGGACATAACTATAAGGACTGCTCTGAAAGTAATGCCCCCTATTTTAGTATATTGGCACACATTGTCAGAGGCAGATATTATAACAGAAGAGACTGAACCTTTCCAATAGCATTCCAGTACATATGGTTGCCTTGTAACAGATGGCAGCAAAGGGCAATCTGACAAAATGGCATCTGGCATGGAGGTGTGTATGAAGCAAAGGTGTGTCATTGAATTCCTCCATGCATCAACTTTCATTGACACTTGCTGAACATTTCTGGAGACCAGACAGTGGGTATGAGCACGGTGAGGTTCATTTCAGCAGTGGAAGGTGGAGACATCAAAAGCAAGTCACATTCTGGACAGCCATGCAGTCATTGTCAATGGCAATGCTGGAATATCGCAAAGTTTGTGCCAGATGTGTCACACGAATGCTCACACAGGAACAGAAGGAACTGTATGGAAGTTTGTCAGGACCTATTGAACCAATCTGATGCTGAAGGTGACAGTTTCATGGATTGCATCATTACCAGTAATGAGATGTGTTGTCATCACTACAAACCAGAGTTGAAACAACAGTCCATGGAGTGATGATATATGAAGAAAAAGCTCAGGACTTAGCCCTCAGGCGGTAAAGTAATACACATTTTTGGGATAAGAAAGGGATGATCCTTCTGGATTTCCTGGAGCCTGTGTAAACCATCCACTCTGACCACTATGTTGTGCTGCTGCCTAAGCTAAAAGCTTGTACTTCTGGAATCAGGCCAGAGAAGAGGACAACCTTTTTCTTGCAATATGATGATTCCAGGCCTCGTACCAGTTTGGGGACTGTGGAGCACACTGTCAGTCTCAGCTGGACTGTCCTGCCATAGCTGCTGTATAATCCAGATTAGGCTTCTTCTGTCTTCCATCTGTTTGGGCCAATGAAAGATGGACCATGTGGGCAAGATTTTCCTAACAACAGTGTCTTCGTAGCAGCTATGAAACATTGGATTGCCTCTGCAAGTGCAGATTTTTATGGGTATGGCGTGCAAGCTCTCGTTCATTGCTGGTGAAAATGTACAGTTAATGGTGATGACTGTGTTGAGAAGTAGTATTTTGTAGCTGAGAATTTACTCTATCAAGTAGTGTTATTGTGCTCTTCATAGTTGTTGTAGTTACCATGGAAATAAATAGGAGGCATTACTTTCAGGGTGACTAACAGAAAACAATCAGTTTCATCAGCATTACAAGACATAACGTTTTCTGTTCCATAAAAATAATAACAGTAATTGTTTTTGTATCCAGCATTTTCAGCAAGTCTTTATTGTTTGGTGAATATGGGAAAATAGCTTGGTTTATCAATTGATGAAGCTGCCTGAAGAATATTGACACAATGTGTACAAATTTTAACATCTGTTAGTTTATGCTTGGAAGAGTTTGCAGTTTGAAAGAGAAGCAGCAGCTCACAGTCAGACTTAGGCAAACCTCAGAAGAGAGAAGAATTGCACAGCACCCTTTGTTACCTCCTGATGGTTCATATCATTAGGCTGCTGCCTAACTTTATGTTGCAATGGACAGGAATTGCTTATCACAAACAGAAATTAAAAACCCTAGACAAATATGTTTTTGTTTTCTTAGTGTTATTCGTTAGTGTGCCTTAGAAAATCCAAGATTAGATTGTGCTCATATTTATCTTTTATGGAGAAGACTTGCCTCTGCCAAGCACCTGCTTGTAGCAGCATGTTACTGGAATGCATGATAACTGTCTCACAGTTACGGCCACGTGTGCCTGGCTGCAGTCTCCATGCTGAAGGTAGTCATTGGCTTTATAAGATAACTGAAGTATGAGTCTGTTTTTGTCTTTTAAAATAAGGCCTTAAACTCAGAACTGAACTTAAAGGAAAGGACTGTTTTTATTAAAAATGGCTTTTTGTTTCTGCTTTTATTTTAAAAATGTATGATTCTGAAGAGCCTTGACATTTTTTGTAACGGGCTGCGTTGGGGAATTTAAATGGGGATGTGAATTTTCATAGGAGTGCTAAGACAAAAGAAAACATATCAAAGAACTACTTTGGAACACCGGTTAGTTATTTAACACTATCTTCTGATCTCAAAACTTCTTAGATGCAATCTAGCAAGCATCTCTTCTGAAAGAGATGGATAAATTTTCTGCTGTGTCAAACCTAACGATGTTTAACTTTTCAACCTCTCTGCTGCTCATCTTTTTGTTAACTGATTAATATGGATGAATGCACCACATCCAAAAATCCAAATGAGCATCACAGTGAGCAATAGCCATAAGGCTAGCAGGCATGTTCTTGAAATCAAAAAGGGTCTTACTGTGATGAATAGCTGAGCTGTTTCTGAAGCCTTGTGGTCGTTGATGTGGTTGATAACAATTGTTATTCCCTTTAATTTCTCTCAGAAACAACTTCATTTTAAACAGATACAAAGCTAAATGTCTATAAATAATTAAGATTTCTGCAAGTAATTTATCTAGTTTATCAGGTGCCGCTCATTTCCATCACATAGAATAATTAACAATCACAGCATACTTATTTAGTATTTGTGTATGAAGGTGGAACTAGAGAACTGCACAGATACGAAACTGGGGGAGGTAGAGAACTCTCACAAAGGAAACAGAAGTAGCCCGTTTTATGGAATTTGTCCAGACAATTTTCCAGTAGAGGTGTTAGCTCACTGTTGAGTGGATCTGTTGACTAAGACTTACAAACCTCCTCTAATTTCTATTTAAAAAAAAAAAAAAAGTATTAAAATATCCTGTGAAGGTTTTGCCACATTAGAAGACTTGTCATAGTTTGACAGTTTTCTATAAATGCATGTATATTCTGTATTGATCATTTGGATTAATTTTCATCTTTGTCTAGCTGTAGGATAACAATTCATCTTAATTTTGTTGTCCAACTTCCTCCTATGACAAAAATGAAACAAAAGCATGCAGACCATTGTTAGAGAGAATTATGAGATAGAGTGTTCTGGAGTTTTTTTTCTGGGAAAGACTCCAGTTGCAGGAATCCAGAATCAGCAGTTAAAACACCACCACATCACTTACAGCCTAATTCAGGCTACTAGCCTTTGCACAGCAGTGTACCAAGGTTTCACATCTGTTCAATTCTGGATCAATTTAGTTTTCAGGATCCTATATATTTCTATAGTTTGATTCCTTGCTTTCTGCTAAAATCTGTACCTACTTGTCCCAGAGGAATGATGTTCTCATTAGAATACGTTCAGGACCTCAAAGCTAATAGCAACCCTGATAAAGAATGAAAGAAGAGCTAGGTGCAGGTGGTTAGTTTGGTTATAACTGGAATTATAGGGATCTACAAACTTAGGGTTAAAGTGGAGAAACATTACACCAGGGTCTTTTCAGATCTTTATCAAGAAGTAGTTTCCTGGAACTAAATAGTCACAAAACAGAATGTATCATTTGGCTTATTTGTCTTTGTTATTCCAGGAAGACTGCTAACATAGGGGTAGTTTCTACAGTAAATTATTTCAAATCATTTCCATCCTTAGTAGGACCACTTGTAAAAGATGTTTAAGCCCTGAACCGTATCATAAGGAAATAACAAAGAAAAGTATGTTGTATGAAATTTGGGAGGAAAAAAACCGCCATGAAAACCCACAAACAAATCACACTGGAAGGCACATTAGGTCCTTCATAGCTTTCTGTGTTTTTAAATGTCTGTATTAGCATAAATCTTTCACTTCAGAGTTTTGCTACCTCATTGTATTTGGAAGTTATCTCTAGCACTTCATAAAAAAAGCACGTGAATTTTGCCAGCACCTGATGTTTGTACTTCAGAGAGGCAATGAAATGTTGCATCACTTGACAGTCCACTGTCTTGCATGCTGTTCTTGCTCTAAGTCAGGATGGATATCTTTAAAAGTCTGCAGTTTTACATCCGAAATAGCGTTGGTGCTTGTACCAAACTTATGGAGAGTGTGTTTGAGTGCCTAATTATTATCTTATAGCCCTGTTTTGATAGCCCATTTCAATGTTTGGAACTGGTCTTTCAGTACTGTTCTCTTTCTGTGCTATTTGTAGACGATCTGCTGTTGCTCGCATTCAGGAGCTCTTCAGAAGGAGGAAAGAAAGGAAAGAAATGGAAGAGTTGGAGACTTTGAACATTAGACGTCCTTTAATAAAGATGGTTTATAAAGGTCATCGGAATTCCCGAACAATGGTACAAATGCTTTGTTTGCTTCTGGAGCCATAGGTTTCTGTGTGGAGTGAAATAGTGTGGGTGTGACATTGACTAGCTTTCCAAAAAGGGTGTTGTAAACACTTGCACTTGTATATTCAGTCGGAAGTCATATGTATAATTTGCTCTAAATGAAAATGAAGATCAGCACGGCTTGTGTGGCACCATGTTAGACAATCAAGTTTTCAGCAGTTTGATTTTCTCCTTGTATTTTCGGTGTTTATCTGTCAGCTTAAGTGATATAAAATGTGACTGCTTTCAAAATTATTATTGGATCCTCACTCTCCCTTCCAAGCTCTTTAAAGGGAAATTAATGATTAAATTTTGAAGAGCTTGGAAGGGAGAGTGAGAATCCAATAATTTTGAAGAGCTTGGAAAGGAAAAGCAAGGATTCAATCATAATTTTAAAGAGATTTGACATATTTGAATTTAAAAAAGGAAATAACCGCTAGTTATTAATCTAACTATCAATACTAAATGCCTTTTTCATACGAAGTGCGTAATTTGAGGAAAAGTACAGCTAATGTTTTTAAAACAGTGGTGCATGAAAAACAAATGCTGTCTTCCTTACTGCTCCTTTTTTTTTTTTTTTTTTCTTTTCTTTTTACAGTACTTGGAAGGTATTAAGTTCTCAATGCTAGGTGATGCTTTGTAGAAATACTAAGTGTCTTGTTTTGAAGATGATCTGAGGAGCAGTCCCTCTTCCTCCAAGAGCAGTTTTCTAGAGTTTAAATGAAAGGCCTTGATTACACTGTGGGGAAGTTGCTTCAATAAGTGCATATTTCAGTAAGCATAAAACAATAAAGCCTAGAATAAATTTGATTAATGGCAAGATCTTGCACTGTGTTTCACAAAATAAATTTAATTACTCAAAAATGCATTAGTTTAAAAGTCGTATTATCGAGCACTTAGTTCAGAGATATTAAGACTAAGCTTTTCTAAGTGGTCTTAATTTAGTCTCCTTCTGTGTATGTGTTGTTGCACAGATTATTCCATGCACGTCGTTATTTAGCTTCTGAAGAATTTGGTTTGGTGTTTTAGCTTCAGTTTTACATGAGCACTTCTGACAAGGCATGCATACAGTAAAAGACTGGAATGTTTGTTTCTATGTTGGCAAACACCATTTTAAGTTTTCTTTTTTCTGATGGACTCCATCGTGCAGGAAGAAAGCTGGTTTCCATTTCAAATTTGTGATGGAGACAGTTTAAAACTAAGAACACACTCTCTATACACTTTCTCTGTTTCCTATACACTTGAGCTACCCAGGGATAAAATTGTCTTGTCAATGACATACGTGTGTTATTTTGATCATATGTATGTAAGAGAAATGAACTAACATCAGGCATGCAATTGGTTAATTTGGGTGCTTCCTGACTTTTGAGAGTTTAATTTGGCAATCTCACAAAAAATTGTAATGATCAATTTTGTGTAATTCCTGTATTGTTAGAAAGCAAGATATTTGAAAAGAACAATAGCAGCAGTGTGTGTGATGGCAGGGGGCAGGGGGTGGGATTTCTTATTTCTTTCTGCCTGTTTGGGGAAAGAATGATCTTGTGAGCCCAAACTTCTTTCTCTTCAGAATTTGTCTTTTGCCATGTACCTCAATTTCTCTGTTTCTCTGCTCTTTTTCTTACTAATTTTCTCTCCTGTCCTAATCATTTCTTTTTGTACATTTGCCATTCTTCCTTTCATTATACTCACCCCAAGTCCCAGATTCCCATTTTAAAAAGTCAGCTTGAAAGAAATTCTGTGCTTCAGTAGAGCATATTTATGTAATAAAGAAGCAGATGATAGATTAGGTATGCATGCACCAAAAGTTTGAAAACATAAAGTATTTTAATTGTGAATTTGAAATCTGTTGCTTTATGTGATGCTAAAATTAAGTCATTTGAAAATTAGAAATATAAAATAAGCAAATGCTTAAGAGTATACAAAGAAAGCAGGAATGACTGAGAATAAAATAAGGTTATCTATGATTATGGATGGTTTGGATGCACTTTTATGTAACAAAACAATAAAAAGATGAGACCTATAAGACAAAAACTGCAGAAAGATGAAAATATTGGAAATGTGTCCTAGACTATAGATTCCAGAAATGCCATTTTCTTGGCTTATTTTTAGCTATGACTGTATCATAGGAACATACTCTTATAGACAAAGACCTAGCAAGATCCCAAGGCTGCAATTTGATAGTGGATGTATTTAATGCTGGAAATACAGTGCATATTTTTAACAGTGGTAATGGTTCAGCTTACTTAGTATGGTTCTTTATCATGGCTTTTTTAAAATCTGCATAGCTGGGGCAAGGCACAGAACAAGGCTGTGTGTGTGTCCTTTCCTCCAGTGCATTTTTTGGAAAAAGCAGTGCAAAAGGAAGGGATGAAGGCGCTGCCTACTGGAGAGCTTTTTTGTGATGTGTTACGCAGAACACAGTTCCATAATAGGATTCTTTTTAAATGGTCTTCTGCCCTCTTTCGGACTTAGGTTTCTGTCTCTTTTGTGTGAGATTCCTTAATTATTACTATTTAAGAATATGATTTTGTGCTGTACTTCAAGCATTGGACATCATCTGTGTGGACTCTGAAAGCTGCTCTATGGGAAATTTCTGTTCATGTATCTCCTCCCAGGGTATGTCAATTCAAAAAAAATTAATGCACTCCAATCTTCAGAACTATTTAAATGTAATCTTTTGTGTAGGTTTACATTTGAAAATTGCAGCCCGAAGATCAGATTAGTGTTAAGCTTTCAGCTCTTGCATTGTGACTGAGTTTGACTGCTCTTGAAGAAGCATCCCTTCTCCCTCTGCCATCCCATCTAACCTCTTAGTCTGTGGATGACTTGGAAGATGGCAAGTGAGAAAGCTAATGCCATCTAACCTGTCCTTCAGATAGTTCAGATGGTTACTATGACATCCTAGTTAGTGTAAAATCAGAAGATTACAGACTGATTTCTGAAGATTACAACCATTAGTGAAGGAAGTGACCCATTCTTGTTTGCTCAGAGTAATTGACATCATTTGGATTACAGATGTTCAGACAGTGAAGGCAAGAGAGAAAGGCCTTGGCACAGAAAGATTATTCTGCATTTAACAAGCATAGTTGTTTCTTGAAAATTATTCTAAGTTTCTATTTTGGGGGTTCAGATGTTAAATTAGCCATGTTCTTTTAGGCAATAGTCATAAGATTATTGTGAATGTTACAGGTGTGTAGTAATAACAGCATTGCTTTTCAAGGAGATGCACATCTGATGCATCTAAGGAGGCCATTTGTTCCTGGCCTGCAATTTCTCTGTTGTTTACACAACCGTCTTCACTGCAACATCACTGTTTCATAGGGCTGCTTCAGCTACATTAGTTCCAGAACTCATAATTAATAAGTAATTTAATAATTACTATACAGGTAATTATTTACAAACAGTATTTTAAAAATAAAAATATTAGTCTAATATAAATAGTCACATGAATCAATATAAAATAAATATAACTGGTATGTATGAACAATTATTAGGTGATACATTATTTTGTAATCTGATAACCATGCTATGTTTTCAGGGAAGGGATGGGGACAAAGAAGAGAATAATAGAATTGTAGAATGGCCTGAGTTGCAAAGGACCACAATGATCATCTAGTTTCAACCCCCCAGCTATGTGCAGGGTCACCAACCACCAGACCAGGCTGCCAGAGCCACATCCAGGGAGGCCTTGAAGGTGGTTCAGATTTATCTTCTCACTTGTCTCTCAGGGAATTTTGCAAGTCAAATATGAGCTAAGTTAGTTATCTTGTCACTGACTGTATTTGCTTTTAATTCTCAGAACCAAGGAGAGGAGAGCCTAGCCATTTCAAAGGGAAGGATGGTGACCTCAGTAGAAAAGTGTCACGGCATTGTTAGCAAATCATATCCAGAAGAACAACGTTGATGAGACTAAAAATACTTATGGAATTTGACATATAAATACCTCCTGAATTATAGCACTTCACATCAAGAAAAAAAGAAATGGAAGATATAGTACATGACTGCATAGTATTCTAGGTATAGCATACGTAGGCATGTTTAGCTGATTGTGAAGCTCTGCAACAAACTATATATAGTTACAGTGAGAAGTGTCTGGCTTCCTGGAAGTCTTCTCAAGGGCCTTGACTCTTTCTACAGTATACTTCAGGGAGTGGCACATTCAGCCCAATTGTGTTTATTTACAACACACTTTAAGTGTGCACACTTTAAGTCACAGTGCAGTATTTTTTAATTTCTTCCTAGTTTTTTCTGATTTTTCAGGAATTCCTGAGTAAGTTTTGCATCTTTCAAGTAAAGTTATCAGTCTTATTGTCAGAGGTGTAGAATTTCCTCCTTCAAATGTATCGTTTTCCAACAGGCACATAAAAAATCCTTCCTGACTGTTTTGACTACAGGCAATAATTACTGAGGCTTGAACTAACTTGTTATCAATAAAGCTGTAGAGGAGTTTTCTGCAGGTTGAAAACAAAAATGATCTAATTATTATTTTTTACAACTGAGTGACATAAAAATGAATAAAGTTTGTGTGATATTAATCCAGCCACTGCAAAGTAAAATGCTCTGAACTGGTCGAAAATGCTAGAATGACCTTCATTATAAACTGCAGGCCTTCACTGAATATGCCACCTATAAATTAGATATGTGTTACATATGAGCAAGATATGTGTTTAAATTTTTTTTTAAATGAAATAAATTTGGATATTGTGACAAGCACTTTTCACTGATAGCATGCAAGTACTCCTGATATCTGACAAATGGTAGTCGTACAACTTCAGGCATTTCACAAGGACATCTGCACACCCAAACAAAACAACTGTAGGTACAACCATATGGAACAGAATGCCTCATCCCCATGTTTAAAAAAAAAATAGTAAAAAAAATGAGACTGTGATATTACAGGTTCCACTTGAAGGGAGAGCTGCTTCTACTTTCATCTGCTTAAGTAGACTCACTTCCCAAAAAGTGATTCGTGCACCCATCTCATCTCTCTGCAAAGTAACAAATCTGCTGTCGCACTCTGTAGACCTTCAGCTATAATGTAGTATCTCTTATTTATTTCCAATCTGCTGAGTCTCATTTCTTAGTTAGCAGCCCGTTTGCTCTGGAGATCTGTAACCTTCTAAGTTTTCTTTTTTTGACTGTTTTTCTTGAAATGTTTCCTTTAAATTTCCATAGGTGCTCTTTCTCTATTAGCAGAGCTCTGAATTCAGATGCAGCGGTACTGTAGAAATGGGATTATACTCTTTGATGTGTTTCTAAAGCTGGTAAAGTAATTGTAAAGTAAAGTAAATTGTAAGTAAAAGTAAAGTAAACTAATTGTGCTTGCTTTTTTATTACAGATAAAAGAAGCCAATTTTTGGGGATCTAACTTTGTCATGAGTGGTTCAGACTGTGGCCATATTTTTATATGGGATCGCCATACTGCTGAACATCTCATGCTGCTGGAAGCTGATAATCATGTGGTAAATTGTCTTCAGCCTCATCCATTTGACCCAAGTAAGATAGTCGCTTTCCACAGACTGTATATTCAAGTTATCTGTATTGTTTCTCAAAACTCAATCTTTAGTTCCTTATATAATAGACTTTCATTAAATTCTTGTTCATTTTTCCCAAAGTAAGTTAGATAATGCTGCTTTTAATTTGGTCTTGGGCTAATGACTTTGGCCTCATTCAATAACTTACTGGAATGAAAACATTACTGACAGTATATATATAGAAAGCTGAGGTGGAGTGAAAAGAATCTTCATCTCTTGTTCCCCCTCCTAATGCATTGTTTTCCATGATGCTATTGAGTGAAATATGGGGGTCACTGAAATGTTGCCAACACTCTAGGGCGTGATACTTGGGTCTGGTCTCTACTTGCTCTGTTTGATAATTGAGTGAAACGCATTTGAATTCTGTGGCACTGTGAGACTAGAACAAACAAAATTCATAGGAATCCTATCAGTTTGTATTTAGGGGGAAATATTTATAGAAAAGATGAACCAAAGTAGCAGAAGGAATCAGATGTCATCTGACACATGGATGAAAAATCTGAGCCATTCTGCAACTTCTGACATAGCCAAAGAAAGCATTTGTGTTATTTTTCTTCATAGCCTACGTGGCTGTAGAAAAATAGTCAACTGTAAATACATAAAGTTAAAATAATAGCAGAAGAGCTTGGATTTTTTTCTGATGAATCCCACTGGATCATAGGTTTGTTAATCTTACACAGATTTCCAGTTACTGAGATCTTTCTGTGGAAGTTTTATTCTCATAGAGTTTTTGTACAGTGATCTGGAAGATGTGCTACCATGCTGTTTTGCATATTATAGAAGTGTTCCTAAGAGTATCCATTGCTTTTGTATATTTGAATACCAAAGACATTTACATGAAGGACGCTGAAACTTTAAATGTACTTTCATATTTGGTATTATCTTACTTCTGTCTAATGACATATTTCATTGATGATTATTGTCACTTACTTATAGTTCTGGCCTCTTCGGGAATTGACTATGATATAAAAATTTGGTCACCATTGGAAGAATCCAGGATTTTTAACAGGAAACTTGCAGATGAAGTAAGAATCTTCCCTCCATTTCTCATTTATGTTGCGTCTTCTCATTCTATAGAAGTTCTTGCTGCAAATTACAGATACTGAATTAGCAGAATTATCTAATGTTAAAAAAAAAAAGTACAAATAAAAAATTGTTCTTTATGGCAGCTAACTTTTGTATCAGCACACAGATTCACTTTGTATTTCATTAACACTCCTAGAAATTATATGATAGAATATGAAAATATAATAAATCATGTACAAGAAAAGCTGGAAAAAGCATGAAGAGTCAAATAGAGAAGGAAAACAGAAATTAGAAATGAAGGCACTGATTGTATATAAACAAACTGACTGAAGGAAACAGTGATATACAGAAGAGCAAGGAACGGAAAAATCAATCCTATTTAATATTCTATGACATTAAAAGGAGTTAAATTAAGAGTGCAAATCAGGAACTTTATGGAATAACATGACTTATTAAAACGTTGGGGTTTTTTTAGCACAATCTCTTGGACAGAAGATACACTAATACACTAGCCCGTATTTGTTTTTATTTTGCTCTATTAGAGCCACATCTATTTAAAAAAAAAACAATAAGAAACAACTACACAGCAGCACAACAGTCCTTAGCTATGACCCCTTTAAAAACAGGCAACCATCCCTGTGTGAGTTTTGAACACTTTGCCATTATTTTAGAGAAGTAGCACGGGGTGATGAGATGCCTAAGTGTTGATTGTGTGATAGCTTAACTGATGAAATACTTGGAAGTCTACAAAGTTCATAAGTATCTGTTGCTAAACATCAGTGTGTGCTAAAAGTAGTTACCGTGTTGATACTTGTGAAAGAAGGAAAAAAAAAAATGGCAATGCTGTCTTCTGAGTTTGGTTTTTTGGGGAGTGGTCAGCTGTACGGAATTGCCTGGTAAGCAGATGGTGGCAGCAGAGAAGGGGGTCTCTGACTCCTCTGGGAGGACATCACTGCCAACAATTGCAAGAATATTTTCCTTAGAAGAGGGGCAGGCTTAAGAAGGAGTCTTGGGGGGAAAAAAAAAAAAAGAGAGAAATGCGTTATTTACCTGCCTTACAGCAGCTGTTCTGCAAGGAAGGATTGAATAATGGTCTGAAGTTCTCCCCATAGAGAAATCTGCATGTTTTGTAATACCGGAAAATGTGATCTGAGAGATGGGTGAATTAGAATTTAGTGGCAAAGCAGTAGGGAACTACCTTGAGCAAGAGAGGAGGCAGAAGAAGCAAAGGTGCTTGTTAGTGGAGCTTTTTTTTTCCTTGAAACCAAGAGGGTAGGGAATGGCTGTTTCAAGTTACTAGAAAGCTGTAGATCTGTTAAAAAAAAAAATCATGGAGCTGAAGAATGTTCCTGAACAGGAATAGAATAATTGCTTGTGTTCCTTGGATTTTTGCTAGAAATTTCAAGCAGCATGAAGGTAGGAGTTTGGGGTAACCTCATCTCTTTTCCTTCCCACATTCTTGGCTAGTGTTGGTGCGGGAACTTTGTTTTCTGCAATAGCTGCCATCTGTAACACTCTTTCTTCAGTCCTTTCTACTTCATGCAAGGTCTCATTTCTGAAAGTTTTTCTTAGCTGCCTGTCTGAATATCTGCTATGGGCGTCAGCAACAGAGTGATGATCTCACTAAAATACTCTTTAGGTAGACTAATAGATATCTGTAGGCGGAGTCCACTGTCTTACTTTTCTTACCACCATAGAATTGGTATAACAATATTTGTTAGTAATTATTAAAGTAATTCTCACTTAATGCAATTTTGGATACTGTAAATGTGTAGAAACTTTATATCATCAAACAAATATTGATATAATTTTGTTTATATTTGTTTCTATGCTTTTTTTCCCCTTCACTGCTTCTAGGTTATAACACGTAATGAGTTAATGCTGGAAGAAACCAGAAACACTATCACTGTTCCAGCATCTTTTATGTTACGAATGTTGGCATCTTTGAATCACATAAGAGCAGGTGAGAGACTTCTTTAGGACTTGACCACCACAATGATCTATGAAAAAGCAGATGGGTTGGGGAACCATAAAGATCTTCAGTTTTATCTGCCTACATCTGAGGTCCATGAAAAAGTTAAAGGATCTTCATTGTCTTAATAGAAGTGCTATGGAATTGCTTCTGTGGTGTGCGACTTGCAACATTTCGCAGCTGTTTTTTTTTCTTTTGTCTGTTTGTTTGTTTCTTTAACCTCAAAGAACAAGAAAATGGCACAATATATTTTAAATGTGACCATACTATCCACCCTGGAATAGTGGGAAACATAGCCGTGGAGGATAAGGAAAAATCTGAGGTTCTTAATGCCTTCTTTACATCCATATTTAATAGTCAGACCAGTTATCCTCAGATTACTCAGCCTCCTGACTTGGAAGTCTGGGATGGGGAGCAGTTAGGGACCTTGTACTCCACCTGGACTGTCACAGGTCTGTGAAGTTGGATGGGATCCACCTGAGGGTGCTGAGGAAGCTGGCAGACGTGATTGTCAAGCAGCTTTCCACCATCTGTCAGCATTCCTGCTCAACTGGAGAGATCCCGGAGGGCTGGGGTCTTCCTAATGTGATGCACAGCTGTAAGAAGGATCGTAAGGGGTATCCAGGGAACTACAGGCCTGTCAGCCTGACCTGGGTTATGGAACACATCATCCTGAGCATGATGACATTGCATGGGCATGTGTAGGACAGCTGGGGAATCAGGCCCAGCCAGCATGGGTTTATGAAAGGCAGGTCCTGTTTGACCAACCTCATCTCCTTCTGTAACAAGATGACCAGCTTGGTAGATGAGGGAAAGGCTGTTAATGTAGTCTACCTAGACTTCAGCAAAGCTTTTGACACTGCCTCTCACAGTATTTTTCTGGAGAAGCTGGGCAGCTGTCTCCTAGACATGCCTTGACTCATTGCTGAGTAAAGAGCTGGCTGGAGGGCTGAGCTCAGAGAGTGGTGGTGAATGGAGTTAAATCCAGTTGGTGTACAGTCACCAGGGGTGTTCCCCAGAGTTTGGTACTGGGGCCGGTCCTGTTTGATATCTGTATTGATGAATTGAATGAGGAAATTGAGTGCACCTTCATTAGGGTTGCAGATGACACCAAGTTGTGGGGAAGTGTTGATCTCTCTGCTAGAAGGCCCTTCAGAGAGATCTGGAAAGGCTGGATTACTGGGCTGAGGCCAATGGGATGAAGTTCAATAAGACCAAGTGCTGGGTACTGCACTTTGGTCACAACAACTCCATGCAACGCTGCAGGCTTGGTGTGGAGTGGCTGTAAAGCTGCACGGAGGAAAAGGGTCTGAGGGTGTTGGTCAACACTCAACTGAACGTGAGGCAGCAGTGTGCCCTGGTGGCCAAGAATGCCAGTGGCATCCTGGCTTGTATCAGAAACAGTGTTGCCAGCAGGAGCAGGGAGATGATTATCCCTTTACTTGGCACCCTTGAGACCACACCTTGAGTACTGTGTTCAGCTTTGAGCTGCTCACTACAAGAAAGACATGGAAGCTCTGGAGCATGTCCAGAGAAGGACAACAAAGCTGTGAAGGGTCTAGAGCACAGGTCTTATGAGGAGTGGCTGAGGGAGCTGGGATTGTTCAGTCTGGAGAAGAGGAGGCTCAGGGAAGACCTTATCACGCTACAGCTGCCTGAAAATAAGTTGTGGTGAGGTGGGGGTTGGCTTCTTCTCTCAGGTAGCAGCAATAGGATGAGAGGAAATGGTCTCAAGTTGCTCCAGGGAGGTTCAAGTTGGATGTTAGGAAGAATTTATTCTCAGAAGGAGAGGTGAAGTATTGAAGCAGGCTGCCCAGGGAGGTGGTGAAGTCACCATCCCTGGAGGCATTTAAGGAAAGGGTAGATGTAATACGTAGGGCCGTGATTCAGTGGGCCATATTGGTGGTAGATGAATAGTTAGACTAGATTGTCTTAAAGGTCTTTTCTAACTGTAGTGATTCTATGGTACCAAGAAGGAAGCAGAGACAGGAGGTTTTGGGAGGCTGGTATGACACGTGGGGTAGAAAATTAGCGGAAATGTAGGTGAGCGTGGCAGATGCATTAGATATTAAAAATGAGGAGGAGGTCCAGCACTGGCTGAGCAGAGTAGTGGCCTTGTATTGATGAAGCAGGAGGGAAGCTCTGCCTGGAAGCAATTGCTGCTCCTCTTTCACCTCCTACTTATCTATGTGGAGAAGACAGCCAGGAAAAGAAGAGAAAAGCCACTGTATCCAGGCCAGTGGTGTGCTTTACCTCTGCTGTAAGTGTTTTTGCTTTTTGGGTTTTTGTTTTGTTTTGTTTTGTTATTGGTTTTTGTTTTTTTTGTCTATTTATTTATTAGGATTTCATTTATTTTATTTGTGTTATTGTTGAGTGAGATTTTTCTTAACCTGGCAGTGCATGTTCTTTGAGTGATTCATACTGAGCCAATATTGTTCCTACACACATTTCTGTGTCTGCCAGTCATTAAACATCCAAAAGTAAGGTTTTTTTACATATACAGTGACAGATAGCAGTTGTGCAGTTTCCTGGAGTATACAGATTTCTAATTGTAGCTTCTCAGAACGATATCCTCAATCCCTTGGACTCACCGTCTCTTTTTTTAATATAATGCTTTCATTCATCCTTTCTGTGCTGACAGCCAGTCAGCATCTACTAGGTTTCTCATTTTGTACACAGAATTCACTTTTTGCTGTCACTGTTGTTTCTCATTGCAGTGTTGTCTGTCCAATCCCTGCTGTCAGTCCATTTTCAGCTTCTTTCATGGTTCTATTACTGTGTAACGCACAGCCACTCTGCAGTGTATAATAGCCCAGAGAGATACTGCATTGCCAGTACACCCCAGATTTGGAAGTTCTCTTTACTGAATCTTCTCTGTGCCTTACAGACCGATTGGAAGGCGACAGATCAGAAGGATCTGGTCAGGAGAATGAAAATGAAGATGAAGAATAACCGGCAGTTGTGTGCAAGCACCTAGATGTTAATGGAATTTGTACAAGACATTAATTATATTTTTCCTTACAGAGCTTTAGTGCAATTCTAAGATACTGCTTTTGGATAACCTAACCTTCTGTTTTTGAATGACTGTGTGCATGACTTTGAGAGAGTGTGCAAGTAAAATAAGCAAAAATGTTTTTAAAATGTTTTGCCATGTATGAGGGGTGCTAGGAGATGCAAAGTGCAATATTTTCCTTAACCTGCAAATGTGGGAGCTTGGATCAATGTTTTAAAGTAACTTTCATTATAGTAAAAACGTTGGTTCAAATAAATTTCTATACCTGCTGTTTGCATGTTCGTTGCTTTCTAATTAAAAAGATTTGGTTGTTTTAAGTAGTTTCTTGTTTTCTCTTTGTGCAGCCATTGATTTATCGCCTTGTCCCTCTATCTCTATTTCTGCTTTCATTTGCATTCTTTCCTACAATGTTTGTGAAGTGACAAATGCAGTTATTTCTTGTAATGAACAAAGCAGGTGACTTTGAGACACCGTGCTTTTTGGTTCTTGGATTTCCATGGATGTAACCCACACGTACTTCCACAGCATTGTCTGTCAGTCATACTATAGTGCCACTTTCTATGCTTCACGCTTGAATCTGCAGTGCTGGTGAAGTAGTTCTGTTTCACCAGTAGATCTGTGATGCCAGCTCTTCACAGCAGCAGCAGATATAGCTTAGTTTCCATTAGATTTAGAACAGAGAAAATATACTGTAGGTGTACTAAGGGAGTGTGAATTAGGAAATTCCTGTGCATTGCTTCCTGGGAGTAGTTACTTAGGAAGAAAGGCTGTTCAGTCCGAGGGTAACAGGCTGTACCCGTTCTCCTTATGCTGTTGGATGGCAGTGGAAAAGAGGAAGTGAAGGAAGACAAAAGAACATGGAACAGAGCAGCTTTGCTCAGTGGCTGTTGTTGCCAAGGATGCAGATGCCAAAAAGCTCCATTGCGAACGAGAAAATGTCAAGAACTGTAAATCAGATGGATGAGGGTACCTGAGTGGGAGGCTCCACACCCCAAGCCTTGCAGGGACCTGATTCCAGTTTCAACACAGGCAAAAGGCTTGGAAAAGGGATATGAATCACAGAAATACAGGGAGATGAGAAACCTAAGACTTCGAGGAGATGGAAGCAGCAATTATATGGAACCCAAGTGCCAGTAAAAGGGCAAAGGAAGAATGGAGTGGAAGAAAAGAGTGAGGAGATGGATAGGGATTTTTATTTTAATTTTTTTTAAGGTTAGAAGAATGGTTGAGAAGAAAAACTGGGCAGGTGAACACAGGGGATTAGTAAGCAAGAGCAAAGTACAAAGGCTTCAAAAGCAATCCAGCAAAGTGAATTTAGGAAAGAGGAAATAATTGTGGAGGAGAAAAGGCTTTGGAGACAGAGGGTGCTGAGAGCATTGGATGTTTTGGAACACCGCACAGCTGTGGAAAATGGGAAACTTCCTACCCAAAGGATGGAAGCCTGGTAAGATTTTGAGAATGTATCTGCCGTAAGCAAGGCATGGTGTGAGAAATCAAGCTAAGTTCTTTAAGCTATGGAGTGAAAGTAACTCTAATATGGGTATTTCCCTTGAATTCTTAATACTCCTTCCATGAAGTTTGGAGAACTATGTAGTAAATATATGTGGTAGACCTGAAGTGCCTGTTATTAGAGTTTGCTGCTCTGATTTATCAGAGGGAGGAACAGAGCTGTTTTTCTGCAAGTCTGGAGCATTTCTATGTTGGAAACACAAAGTAGCACACTATTTGATGTATCTGTTAGGTCTGGAGCAGATGAACCTCTGAAGACGATATTTGAAACATATCTGCTAATCTGCCAATTATTTAACTAGTTCATTGTGTCTACAGCAGAAAACTATCTCTGTGAGACTTGTGTTTGCATATTACCTATAATTCCATTGTTTTTTCACTCATTCTCAAACATATGGATATGGTAGCCATTCACTAGGGAGGTCCATAAATCAATTTTAAATTCCATATGTTTAGATGTGGCTTTGCCAAATAAAGGGGTTGTTGAGTTTCAACATGGGCAAAAGACTAATATTTGAAAGACTTTTGTCAAACTTCAGTGGTGCTTTTCAAGTTGCACTTCTAAAACTACCCTACCTATCGGGTTTGTCTTCGGTTGGAAGAGCTTTTGGTAATTGGTTCTGTCTCAACTCCCAGAACCGTGCAGTAATAGGAACTGTTGGCAGAACTGGTGGTAAATCTCTGGAGCTTATAGCAACAAAGGAAAAATAAATGAAAACCTTATTCAAAGATGCTTGGAATCAAAGAAAGCAAGCAAGCAGAAAACCAACTCCTGACCCACAATCCGAACCCTCACAGCTTTGGGCCGGGGTTCCCCCTAGCGGGGAAACCATGGGTACTACTGTTGGAACACATCGAACGAGCAGTTGATCTGACTGCATGCTGAAAGGTAAATCTCCAAGATATTTTGTTTCTCACTGCCTTGCCAGCAACCCAAATGTGACAAACAGGAGAGCCAGTGAGACTTCGGGGATGTTTTATTTTCTTGCTGTGTGAACTGAAGACTGTTGGTGTGCTCAAGCTGCTATTGTCCTCCTCTGCTGTCCTTCTGTCCTGCAGCAGCTTGCTGTCAGTGTTCACATCCTAGAAATTAATCCTTGCAATTAAAATGAAGAGTAACAATCTGATGCCAGGGTTCAGTTGTCGTCAAGCTCATGTAGAATTCCATAGATACTGGAATACCTTTCAGAAAGATATTAAGACTGTTGCAAAGATGAAAAAGCAATTTCTTTGGTGTATTGCTGTGATTCCTGGCAACTAATTGGGTGCTGGAGCTCAGGCAGATGGGTACTGTAGGCGCATTCTCTGGTTTAAATGTCAGAGGTACTGGCTGAGCCTGTTTGCACAGTGATCTGCTGAAGCTCAGTGTCTTTGTGCCATTTTCCCCCACTGGAGGCAGGGTGGGGTTCACTGAAGACATCATCCTGTGTTACCCTTGCCATAAAATCTTCTTTTAAGCGGTAGATAAATGTAACTTCAAAAAAGCTTTAAGGTAGAATGATCTCTATGTCTTATGCACTTTGAGAAAATTCTGGAGGTTGATTTTGAAGGAAAAAAATCCAGAAATAAGTGCTTAAAATAGATGTTAGTGGAGGTACGTGTGCAAATGTGTAAGAGATGGGAGGGTACGCTCGGAGATGCAGGCCTGGAAAGCTGAGCAGTGATGTCTGCAGTCATTTTTCTGTGGAAAGATACCATCGAGCCAGGTTCCATCTGCGGGACTGAGGCCTGATGCAAATTATATGGATAGTCTTTGGGAGCCCTGTGTCTGTGCATCATTGTTGTGGGGGACAGACCCGATGGCTCCAGCAGAAACTAAGCTGTCAGCACGGCTCAGGTCAGAGCCCTTATTCCTCCTGTTCTGGAGCCACGTCACTCCAAGAGACCTCTGCTGAAATAGAGGAAATAGCACAGAGGGCAGCTGGGCGGTAACCCGGCTCACCTCAGTAAACATCGATTTTTGAAACCTGGGGCTAAATCAGTTTTTAACTATTTTTGTGGTTTATGGGCTGTCCCAATGCTTTCATCTGTGAAAGCATTTGGTTTCTCAGTGATGTCATCTGCTGTTAAATCTGAGCTCTTTTTTGAGGGTGGTGGAAGTTCATTCACCTTTGTTTTAAATGTTCCTTTTATTATTTATAATTGCTCTTTTCTTTTGTTGGAAAGGTGTCATTTCCCCTCTCTGGCTCTAAAGAACTTTCTATCAGTGCTCCCCATTTGATTCATTTCCATTTGCTGATAGATCAAATTTAAGTCCAAAGAACTACTAATGAGATGTATCAGTTCAAACCACAGGCATGTATCACTTCTAAAGAAAGCTCTTCCAACTGTTAGTCAACACGTTAGCATGTTTCCTTCTTTTTGCAGAAGAGTGGTACAGAAAACCATGGAACTGGCAGATTAAATGCCCAAGTCAGAACTGATGGCTCCTCCTTGAGGCACTTCTTAGTTCAGTGAAAATCTAACTAGAGCTCATTAATGGGCTTGTTACTAATAGGAAAACAAAACCGAGGGACCTTCAGCTGCTGTCAAACAGTACTGCAGGTCAGTGGTCAGACTGTGTTTCAGTATCTCCTCCTGCCCAGCCTGCTCTTAACCTTGTGCAGTCTGGCATATCGCTGCTATTTTTTTCCTGCTGGTGAGTGGTGAAAGAGGGAGAGCAAGGAGGGAGGAAGGAGCAGGCTGTGGGAGAGCTGTAAGAGTTGCAGCTGTATGTTTTCAGCAGCACCACACAGCACTGTGCTCCACTCCTTTCCAGGACTCGGCTATTGTGCCAACAAATACAAGCCAGCCTCCCATGTAGGTTTCAGGTGTACTTATCTCCCTACTGCATTGCTTTCCTCTCATGCAATACCTGGCCTCCCCTCTGAGCCCAGTGTGAGTGCACCGTTCTCTCTGTGCATCGATGTTTTACTGACCTGGGGCAGATGGGTGATATCACAGCCCTGGCTGCGAGCTCCAGCCCCACTCTGCTTTCACAAACAGTCATTGTGAATCCGTGTATTCTAGTAAGTACCTGTCTGTTTGCATCTAATTGAACAGAGCTGCTTCATCTCCTACAATTACTGTATTAAATTTTAATGGGCCTTTTTGTTCTTCAGTTCTCATTCGGTTACGGAGATGCATGCATCTCTGAGGAAGATTCACCAGTACTGAGAGTCTGTTCTCCACATCTCTCCTATATAAATGCTTCTTGCACACCTGTTCCTTGCTTTGGCACTGGAGTCATTCTAGAGAAATCTGATTTAAAACAAGGGGCACTGAAAATCAAGTTATAATTTTGAAATCATCCAAAGGAATAGTAGGTGTTACTGTGACGTTGGGTGTTATTTATGATGACATTGCTTCTTTTCATAGAAACACAGAACCATTTGTGTTGGAAGGGACCTCGAAGTCCACCCAGCCCCAACCCCATTCCATGGGCAGGGCTGCCCCCCACCAGCTCATGCTGCCCAGGGCCACATTCAAGCCAACCTTGAGCACCTTTAGGGATGAGGAGTTGCTGGACTAGATATCTATTCATCAGAGTGCAGTGGTCATTCAGCAGGATGTGCAAGATGGATTCGTGCTCTCATTTAAATTACTGCTGAATGATTTAGTGTCTACAATTGTCAGCCACTAGCTCTGAGGGCAGGGGGTGCTGCTTCAGCACTTTACAGAGAAAAAAAAAAAAAAAAAGGTATCTGAGACTGTTATCCATCTCCATGAAATACATTAAATCAGCATCTCAAACAGAAATATGGTGCTTTAAAGTAATCTGCTGTTATTTTACCTGGGATTATAAAAAGCAAGGAAGGTTTCTCTAAGT